CACCACCCTTTAGGGAGGCATGTGCTGCAATCATTATCAGTTCATCCATACACAAAGCACACAAAGGTATAGTCCCCCTTAAGTGTTGACCTTAAATTGTCTTTCTCTACATAGAAATGTCACGATCTTCATGAAGAAAACCTTTCTGCTTATTTATGTAATTGAAAAACATGGTCTAACACACACAAATATACAGCAAATGCAAGTGTACTAATATTTGATATAATCTTGTAAGGAATTGCTGAAGCATATGCTAAAATTAATTCATCACCCCCCCTAGTTTATCACAAACCTGTGACTGTTTTGTTTGCACTCTGCTTAATGGTCCATCTTTCTCAGGACAACATATGTTACAAATCTTTGTAATTTCATGCTCTTACCTTGCAGACCATGCCTAAACAAAAGGAAAAAAATAAGAAAAATGAAGCATTTTCTCCTTTCTTTTAAATGTAGCTCTCGTCTAAATGCTCGGACAGGCACTGTCAGCTCTGAAAATTCAAGATTAATCAAGCAATTAAGAATTGATATCTAGTGACTTATAATAACTGGAAATGAGAGATGCTGGATTTATTTTTGCTCTGCAAGAACCCAAAATAGCTAACCTGATTTTTATGGACAGCAGGATTTTAAATATTTGGGGAGAACAGTTAGAATTTCTTCTATTAAAGTGGTTCCTTCAGAACCTCCATCTACCTTCTGCACATTCTTTAGCAAAAGGCCAGTCTGTATAGAGGGCCATGCTGGAAGAGCAGCTTATGTCAGATTCACACCCTGCCTTTACCTGAATGAGTCTGAAAGTGTACAGAAATCCTAAGAGCAGGAGCCAAGATGAAGTTTTGCTTTCTCTCTGCCATGTGCCAGCACAGCATTGCACTGCTTGAATAAACAACCCAACTGAGCAGGAATTACATCACTTCAAAACTGTGGTTTCCTTTAGACATTAAAAAGAATGGCAAGCATTTCCATTCACATAATTATCAGCATTATCACCTCTCCTCACACCTCCTCCTCCAGCATCTAACTGTTGTTATGGTAGGGACTTCCCTGCCTCCCTTCCTTGGGAGTGGAGAGAGCCTTTGCAACTCAGCTGCAGTCATTTGCTTTCCTCTCCATGAGCTCAGGAACTTCTTCAGCAATCAGAAAGACTTCATGGGTTGGATGAGCAATAACTCAGCACATTCCCTCTGTAAACATTTATTTGGAGAATTGGGGCATACATATTTAGACTTTCTATGGTAACTTGGATCTCATCTTTCCTTATTGCCAAAATGGTGGATGCCTCTGTAAAAGAGAGGAGTAACTTCTGCCGCTTTGCTACCTCAGCTAGGCAGATGCAAGTGTTATTGATACCTGCATGAGAAATCAAAAATGAAAAGCGAAGTGCTCCAGAACCCAGTGCTGGTGACTCAGGAAGAAACTTTCTTTTTCCCAAAACTATAAGTAGCTCAGCAGCTCTTACTTACCCTGCTACTGGCTTCTTCCTGGACAACCTGATAGAATTAAGAGCACAGAAACCTGAATTCTGTTCCTAACTTCACCTCTGATTCTCTGCATCAGTCTTGGAAAAGTCATTTAAGCTCCTAAGCCTCCATTTTTTCCATGCATGAGTCTGAAATGACATACTGAGCCTTGCAAGAACTTCTGAAACCTCTGATTTTAATAGTACATGTCAGTGCCAAAAGCACCATTATGGGCATTACAGCACTAATTCTCTCACAAGAGAGGGAAGCTCACTGTGCCACAGGTATTTTGGTTACAATTATTACCCCTGGAAGTGCTCAGATATCATTGCACAAAATTGTAGGCAGATGAATCTTTCAGATGGGATAGAAACCAGAGGCCCTGACAGGTTATTAAAAGACATAACGTTTTGAAGAAGCCCATATGTTAGCTTTTTCATGTTCACCCTGTTCCAATTTGGATAATTACATTCTAACTCCTTAAAGCAGGGTGGCTGACCTACCTGGCCCTACCAGCTGTATATCCAAATCTTCATGTGGCCCAGAGCGATACAACACAATGCACATATTTCAAAAACCTGAAGAAAAAGAGGAGCTCTAGGAGATGCTCATCAGCTAGTGAGAAAGATTTTCTCCTGGAACCAGAGCCCTCCCCTCCTGCTGAAACAGTCCTTCCCTCAGAAGCAGCTTCTCCTCCATGTCACTTCCCACAGGAACCTGCCTGCTATTGTCAGGGCACCATCACACTTTGTCCCCAGGCAGCTGCGTAGTGGCAGCTCTGTGATGCACAGATGCTGTGAACATTGAAGATTCACAGCTCGCAACACATTCCAGCAGTTTACAGGCCTAGTTATTAATAGTGAAGGACCTAGTGACATACTAGTTACTAATAGTAATCTTCATTTCTGCTTTATCATTAAGAAAGAAAAACATTTCATCCCTCACAGTAAGTGGAGCCTGGCTTGCCCGAGAATCAAGCAAGAGAAGGCACTGAAGGTTCACTTTCTTCTCTTGGAGATCACTGGTGCTGTCTGAGCTGCTCCTTTTTCCTGTACAAACTCTCAACAGTAATTCACTGTGCATTGCAAATCTTGACCACCACAGAATCCCAAACCACAGGAAGAGCAATATCTGAGCCTTCATCAATTTCCTGACAAAGAAGAGAAGCAGCATATGGTGCAAAGGTTTTTTTTTCACCACAGACACACAGTAAATTTTCCCAAACCCAAGATAAGATGCCATTTCCAAATGGTGAAAGAAAGTGGTGGCAATTTCAAGCAGCCCCAAACGGCTGGCTAATTTTGCATTTCAGATGCCACTCTGACCCAGTGAAGGTGTCAGCAGCCACTCTCTTGTCCCTCACATGGGCCAAGACATTGATATCTGATGAAGCAATTGCTCCAGACGTCATGGATGCAAACGAGGGGAGCCTGTCCTGTCCCCATCTCTTCACAGGTGCTGGTGGCACCTGGGCCATGGTGCAGACCTTTGAGACGTGTCAGAGTCACCAGCCCCAGGGGCAGAAGACAGTCACAGCCAGGGATGCTCTGCATGGCTGTAGCTGCCCACCTCTAGGGAGTCTGTGGTCTGGGGGTCACCAAAGAAGTTGGCGGGGGCATGTGGGCACGCAGGGGACAGGAGAGAGAGCAGAGAGGACCTAGGGCACCATCTGGTGGCTTCATTCACTGCCTTCCCTAAATCCTTGTCTCACGGGGTCATAATATAGCATAGCCAAGGGCTGAAAGAACACCAAGTCTTACCAAGAGACGGCCCAGCCGAAACAAGAGACCCCTGCCCTTGGCCCAGACTCGCACATCTGTAGGGCACTGCTGGGTAGGACAGCAGTGCAAACTAGAGCCATAGTAACCATTTTTCTTGGGTGCCGTTCAGTCAAGCACTTCCCTTGATAAAAAACCAGCCCCAGCTGGGTATTTAGAGATAATTCGCAGTAGAGACACCCCTGAGAAGGCTAAGGAAGAGAAGACAGAAGTGATGAAGGAGAACACTTTGGACATATGTTTCACTGGCATTATCCACTACTGTAAGGTCTTGTCTGCAGATAAAGGCAAAATACAGTTTGCCCTGTTTTGTGTGACAAAACTGTACCCATGCAAGAGCTTGTCCTCTGCAGAAAAAGATCAAATCAACAAACCTCTCAAGTGCACCCTGGTTTTTGCCTTATCAAATGAGGATTTGCTGTAAAGGATTTATGAAGGAGTCCATTTAAAGGGAATAGATGACCTCAGTGTCACCAACGCCCTTTGTAGCAATGCACTCTCAGGACCAAAGGCTCATGTCTGGTCAAGAGAGCAAAGGATCCTAGTCCTAACACAGCACCTCCTTTAGAGGAAGGCAGGCAGTGCATTTCCACCTCATGCCATTGCTTACTTTGATAACAGCTCTCCACTTCCCTGAAATCCTGGCAATAGAAAAGGATAATTCAACACTTGGGAACCAAAGGTTATACCACTATAACCAGGGAGCCTTCTCTGTGCATAACAGCACCATGCTGGGGGAAACAAGTGGAGCTGAGGTCCTTAGAGACACAGTTTTTAAGAGGAACCCATTCTCACCATTCAGTTTAAAGCAAAATGTATAGGGTGAACACAATAAACCAGTCACCACTTCTCATATTTGTGGAGATGGTGAAACTGATCCATAATTTCTTTTTTTTTTTTTTGTTTTCCCAATTGCCTAACACTTAGAAATGAATACATTTCCTCTTGCTAGCAACACTCATTTTTTGCACCTATTCTCATGGGCCACAGAGCCAGGTAAGACAGAAAGACCAAATGACAACAAGAAGATCAAATGACTGCCTTTTCCCTGAACAAATCTCTGTTACAAAGTAGCTATACCAATATTATATAAATTATATTCCGTAGTCTTTCCTACCTGTGCCTTCAGGCATTTCCTCATAGCACCCTGGAAAACTCCATACCATTTAAAAACATCCCTGCTCTCACAGCCTTCTGCTTTATGCTTTTCTCTCTCACACACACGCTGTTGCTGCCACGGCTGCCCATGGTGCATGATGCTAAAGAAGTGATTTTAGATTGTGGCTTCATAGTTTTAAACTTCCTTTTTCTCATGCAGCAGCCTTTTAGCCTTCCTCACAGGGCCAACTCAAAAGCCATTGAAATCAACACAGTGACCCCCATCCTGATTTTGACAGTTTGGCACACAGCCCAAATCCCCACATTTGCTAGTGTTTCTTACAATATTTTTACTTTTTCACTTAATTGATCAGAACCTGGTGTGATTCTTCCAGTACTTTAGCACTGACTGTTCTAGAATAGCATTTTCTGTTCCAAATACTCTTCTTTCTTTCATGTTATATTTTAAACAGCTTCAGCTTTTTAATATATAGAATTGTTCAGGCATAAATGTAAGAAACATGCTACTTAAAAAGACAACAGAAACACAAGACAAATCAACTCATTGCAAAGAGATATCCTTGCCAGGAAATTTCCAGTAGCATCCAGTATTTTTAGCATTTATAAAATTTAAAAAACAAAACACAAAACCTAACCATAGTTATTTTGAAAGTTTTTACTTTTCATCAAATCCACTGGCATCTGTTGAATATTTTATTGCCATACTGCAACATATTTATAATTCATCTCATCATTTCTTCAAATTTGTTAAGGAAAGGAATTGTTATACCTGTACAATCCTCTGAAAATTCTTCTGTGAACGCAAATATTTCCTGGTCATATTAGTAAAATATAAAACTTTTTACTTCAAAAATATTTATAATTGTTGTGATCACTTAACAAATTATAAATGGGTCTAATAAGCCATGCTGTTCATTCATTGCCTTTTCTGAAATGAATTCCTCAGCACTGGGAAGAGAAAAAGCATTTTTCTGTGGTTAAAGAAAGTCCAAATTGCATGTTTGAAATCTTTTCTAATAAAAAGAGCAAAGCAATAAGCGGATTATCTCTTTAAACATAGTATAGGAAGGTTGGAGGCCCCGGAGACATTTTCCATAGCCTCTATCTCTGATACATAGCAACATTATCTTCAGCTAGAGAGGGTCCTATGACCCTGGAGCTCAATTTTAATTTGATCTTCTTCTTTAAAGAGGTTTCTACAATTCCTCTCAAGTTATGCTGCATATTCTTATTTTGGGTTGGTTTTGTTTGGTTGTTATTTCATTGTTGTTTTTAATATGAGATAAAACAGCCACAGCTTTTTGATCTGCTGGTTTGATCATGTTATACGGATATTTAATGTAACTTCTTCCCTATCAGAACCAGAATATGCATCAGCACAAATGGTAGGCAAGTTCCAGATGACAGGGGAGAAAGAATTTGGATAGCAAATTCACTTCTAAGTCCTCCTTCCTCCATTCATTCTAAGTTTCAGAACTGCTGTCCCTGGCCAATAACACATAATGGGGGAGTAAAGGAGCTTTACACTCTTTACAGCAGCCAGCTGAAACAAAGGCAAACCTATTGGTCTTGGTGGGCAAAGGTACCATGCCTGCTCCCACAGAGGCTCAAAATCCCCAGTGATAACAATGCCCATTGCCAAGATGAAAAGGAAACTGGGGAGCTCCCCTTGGATTTCTGCAGGCTGGAACCTGGCCCCAGACCCGCATGGCTTATGCAGCTCCAGCAAAGGAGTTTCCTCACATTCCCACTTCCTTGTTCCTCTCTCTTGCAGAATGGGCACTGTCACTGACACGTGTTGTTAGGAAGGGGTATTTTCTCTGTGTTCATTTTCTCCGCCTTTATCTCCGTCAGTGCATCCAGTCCTCACTGTGTACTGCTGATATTGCTGAAGGGGAAGCATTTTCTTGGAGGCACTGATTTGAGTCGCCTCAGTAAGGTCGCAGCAGGCATCTGTGACTACTTGATGGGATTAGCAGATTACGAGAAATCGTGTTTGCTGTGGGGTTCCTGAGAAAGGGAAAATGGGCAGGTGGATGCTTGGATCTGGTTAAACTATGCATGAAGTCCTGATGGCCATTTCGGCAAAGCCACAAGCACAGGATCAGACTGACGCTGCAGATCAGGATCGGAACATCAAGCCAGCAAGCAGGGAAGTCTCTGGATTGTCCTACCACTTGCAGAGGATTTCAGACGGGGTAGGTGAGAGAAACCTTCACAGATTGCCCATTCCCAAGATAAGTGCTTGACAAAAGCAGCTTTTCTTTTGCATCAAACAGTTTTGCTGCAAAATAGCTTTGCTGCATCAATGCAGACTGAGCCTCGAGGGATTTTTACAGACACATTCTGTTGTTAATGAAGGGCAGTTTAGAAGGGGCCAGGGGTTCACAGTTCCCTCGTGGTTGTGCTCTGAAGTCACTGTGGATCTCTGCATGTACCTGCATCTCATCTGGGATGTAAGAGAGTAGCTCTGCCATACAGAAAGATGTCTGGTCCACATCGGGTCAGGTATCTTCCCTGTTAGATATTCTCATACAATGTATCAGAGGATTCTTCTAGAGTTTCTTGCTTCTTAGGTGTCTGCAGAATGATGGAAAAGGAGAAAAAAGAAATGGAGGAAAATTATTCAAAAGATGATGAATTAATTCTTTATAAGCAGACACTGACGTTTGTTCTGTTAGAAATGGCTGTAAGTGATCTGCTGAAGCAGAAGCCACTACAGTGAGAAATGCTGCTCCACCAGAGACGAACGTGACTAATCCAGCCCAAGGGATAAAGATGCCTCCTTTACTAGTCACTCTTCCCCAAAAAAACTGTCAGACAGGGAGGGGAGGGAAAATTGGACTTGGTAAAAAAATAAATCACTTTGGATTCTGTGAAGGAGGAATTCCCTGACCTCCTCAATCCTGTTTCTTCAACAGTTGAGTCTATTCCTCACGACCGTTCCTTGTGTAGACAAGGCGCTGACAGACTGATATTTTAAGTGCTGTGTGGCACAGGCCTGCTGTAAGCAAGGTTACACAGCAAGTAGCTAAAATGCCACCGGCTGAACTAAGCCCTACCTACACTAGCATTTTCTCTGCTGCCACCAGCAAAGGGAAACACTACAAAAGTGCTGAGTGGAGGCACCTCCAAAGTGTGCAGGATTAACCCCTTGCTATCCAAACTGGCCGACGGTCCATAGTGACAGCTTGCAAATGCTCTTTTCAGAGGCTTTCTAGCCTGCTTCCCTTTACAGCTCTCCCTCAATTGTGCAGCACCCCACAGCAAGGGTTGAGCGGGACCCTCTGAAGCAGTCAGCCACTGTTCAGCAATCTCAGCTCCCACTCACAGGCTAAACCCACTGAACCACAAGTCTCACTCTTAGGGAGAACATTCTCTTATACTCCGGAAAAGACAGCTGAAGGACAAGTGTCTCAAGTGGTCACAGCCCAGGATGACTGAGAGAAGCTGATCAACGTGCTTGCAACCATAGCGAATAGTGCAAACTCTCCAGTGCTGAGCTCATGGGACCCTGCCACTCACACTTTCCTTCCTCCAGACCAGCACAAGAACTGAGGACACTTGGAGCTGTCTGCTCTCAGTGTGAGAGTTCATCCCCTCTCTGCTTTCTTCTCCTTTCTTTCTCCCAACTCTGCTTTGACCTTTACCCTACCCTGGTTGAGACTGCCAGCACCAGACCCACTTACACACAGATGCTCCTCTGCTGTTGCTTTGTTGCTGCCCTGTTTTACAGACTCTTTGACCATCCAAACAGCAGTTGAATGGTGTGGGCCACACACAAGCAACTCAGCACAGCCCAGACAGCTCCCTGGTAGAGAAAAACCCCACACATCTTACCATCCAGACAGAATCATTTCAAAGGGGACAGCTGGTAAAGGTATACAGAGAATAAACAGAATCAGAAAGAGGGACCTTGTCCAAGTAATTCAAAATGCAGCAAAACACAAATGCAGGGATGCTGTCTTTTCCAGTGTGTCCTGGGGTGACATCATATAAGACAAGCCTATATAGAACAACCCATCCTTCCCCTCAATAACCAGGAACCTGCCACTGCTTTTACTAACAACTCCGTGGTGGTGTCACAGCAGTAACTGCAGGAGACCAGAGGCCATGGGCCCAGACCACATGACAAGTAGCTCTGACACAAAGGGGGCTGCTTGATTTTAGGCCACCTTTTCCTAGAAGGTGGGAGTTGTGAAAATGTCTCAGACATTGGAAAATACTGTCCCTTATGAAAGAAAGGGCTGGTGCAACCAGGGAAACTCTCCGCAACAGAGCATTAATGGGAGAAAGCAGCAGATGTTTTCAAGGAACATTTTCTAGCACTGGAAGAGGATATATTTTTTAAGCAGATAAGAGGTCTAGAGAAGAAAAGAAAAATTGGGTTCTGAGGACAGGAAGAAAATGTTCCCTGGGGTGCCTGATGCAAGTTTTGTCCATATGAAACAGCTGGTGCCTGCCAAAGGCAGGGTAGAAGGCTGTGTGGGCCTCTGATCTGCTTCATGTGTCCTCCACAATTAATTTATACCTGCATATTCCTAGTTGCCTCTATTTTCACTATGAGTGTATTTAGTTCCTTGTCTCTCACTCATAATTCTCAGCCCAACAAGAAGATCCAAGTCCAAAACATACCCACACTGCCTTTTGCTGGGCTCCAGAGCTGATAGCAGACATTGCATAAGCCCAGACTCTGCTCAAACCATCTTAGCTTCTGCTACCATGAAATGATTCTCAGGTGCTTAATGCTGGTGAGGGGAAAGTTCTGTTCAGGGTCTGCTGCTGGTGCAGAGATTTCTTTAGCCCAGAGGATGTCTCAGCTGCCTAAATAATCTGGAAAGGGCAATAACAGGACCAGCACCTGCCCAACTCTTCATGAATGCCTATCTTGTTCAGAAGGAGGGGTGATGCCAAACCCCTCAGTGCCTTTCAGCATACATCATACAGCAAAGCATCTGCACACAACCGTGAGTGCCAGAACTGGCAGAGCTGCAGGAGCCAGGGTTCTGCTGAAGAGAGAAGACAGGCTACATGTGCAGTCCAGCTGGTGAGTGCATGCCACATCCCGTTTTCCCCCTTTGGTGGGACTGGAGACACATTTACTGCCTGCTAGATCATGAGATTGTGTGGGGTTTCTTTCCACAGATGCCCAGGGCATATGGGAACTTTCCAAGAACACGGCCCTGGCCCTTACCTTCCCTGGAGGATTCTTTCTGTGTGATGGGTTGTTTGTCTTGTTCTCGAGGCTAGAATAGACATCAACTTGCTGCACATCCAGGCTCTGCACAAAGAAGAGAGAAGAAAGTAGGGGTCAAATAAAATACTTAGGTTTAAGATAACTAATTACCCACTGGGTTGTTCCCCATCTCATGCCTGACATTTTTTAGGAACCCCTGCCATCTTCAAAATTTTGAAGTTCCTGACCTTAACTTGGCAAACAGAAAATCCTTTTCCCCTGAAATCCCCACAGTGCAGATGCATCATCTTCTTTTTTTCAGGCTTACAGAGACAGGCTTTGATGTTACCTACCCTGTGTAAGGCAGTGGAGAAGAATGCCAATACCCCTGCCTCCCTTTGCTCCAAAATTGTCCCAGAATACAAAGTGGTGCACCAGGGGGGAGCACAGGTAAGAGGCTCTTACTCTGCATCACCCAAGACTGTTTGGGTGCCTGACAACCACAAGCTCTTGTTCATGATTATTCTGGGGACACAAAGGTGAGAAAAAGGGAGACGCTGGGGGTCCTGAAGCACAGAGGCTGTTGAAAATGAACACTATTTCTGTTTATTGTTTGTTTGGTTTGTTTTTTTCCCAAGCCAGAACTCTCCTTTCTTCTTTGAGTGAGCAAAGAATAATAAAAAAATTCATATGCTCCCAGGCCCTCAAACATTACCATGGTCCCACACAGCTACACAGAGAAACACACACACGCCCTGCATGCATATGCACCCGTTGTCCCCCAGGTAATCGTGTCACAGGAGATGCATGTCAGTTTGAGTGATATTCCAGATCTGCCTGAAGGATCAAACATAACAATCATGAGGACTTTTCCATGTGTGTTTCAAGAATGACAGCAGGTTGCCAAGGTGGCTGTTTCTCTGGCAACAGGAAGATGGGAGGAGCTCTGGCTGCAAGAGGGGCAGATGGTATTAGTGGAGAGAGCAAGGCGCCCTGTAATGCAGTGAGAAGGATGAGCAAAACATGGAGGCTTCATTGGGGGCTGCCAATCACTTGAACCTTCATAATTTCATGTGAAGTTGCAAACACCCAGCACCTCTAAGGATCATGGCCAGCAGGACAGTGCTTTGAACAGGACCAGAGGATAGAGAAGCAGCACTGGGGAGTGGGCCTTGGAATAAACAGGCACTTAGATATGAATTTGCCACAGTGAATGGGGCACCACATGGCTCTCACATTCCCACTGCTACTCTGGAAACAGCCAAATTATTTCACATGTCTGCTTCCTGCTCCCAAAACCTGGTTTTGTCTACTCAAACATCCCCACCACTCACATGTGCACACAAATTCTATTTCTCCACACTTATTTTCAATTCTCTTTGTGAGACCCCAACTTGTGTGTTGAGCTTCCAGAAGCCTGGCTCCATGTCCCCTTGGCAGCCTCTTTCCCACTCCAGTCTGAAGCCACTTGTGAGTAAGGTGTTTATCCTCCAGAAAAGATTCCCTTCCCTCCACATGCCTTCTTCCCACGGAGGCTGTTAACAATGCTGGTTCTTTTCCAGTCAGTTGGAGAGCTGGTGTCTCCAACCACCATTTGCAAGTTAATTACTTTTACTTAGTCACTGATCACCTGCTACTGTCACAGTGGAGGCACACAGGCCACTCTCCTCCCTGCTGACAGATGCCTTCCTATCCCTGAGCAGCCTCCTGTCTTCCTCACACAGGGAAAGGCTCCCGTGCTCTGGAACCTGACTGCACCTGCACAGCAGGAGTTCTGTTTGCTGCTCAAAAAAACCTTGTTTGAAGTGTAAAGCAGATGAAGCAAGTCCCTCAGATTGTTATTTCCAAGCTGCTCATTAACTAAGCAGCTAAGCTGGAAGTCAGAGGGTATACAGGTTTGGTTCCAGGCAGGGCAGTGAGGTAGAGCTACTCTATGGCTGCAGGAGGACAGAAAGGTCAAGGAAGGCAGTACAGAGAGAACAAAGTGGATTCCCAGCTGCCCCCTTATTACCAGGCTTTTTGCTATGTTGTATGCTTTTCACTGCATACAAACGCCCTTAGGGACAACAAAGTAAATAATGGCACCTGGAAGAGCCACTGGGGAAGGTATTTGCTCCCAGGAATGTTCAGCAGGACAGTTTTGCAGAAGGTGTGTTAGGACCCTTCCCACACCAGGGATGAGCCTTGACACCACATAGGATAAAACAGAGCATTTAATGTTACCAGCCAGTAACAGCATCTGTTACTTTGATATCCAGTGCTGCCTCCTCTTGCTTCTGCTCCCAGCTTCAGACCTGCAAGGACACTGTGCTTTCCTGGCCTCACTTTCTTCCAGACTCCAACATCTTGCTTCCCACACAGATAGCGTAGCTGGCATGTGCTGGCCTCTTGTCCTGTCCCTGAACTCTGACCTCCTTCTTTACCTCATCACTGGGAGTTACTTCTCACTTGTCTTTCCTTTTTTTCCTGGCCTTAGATTACCCCAATGCTGATCACAGATTTTTTTCCCTCTCCATGAATTAAGCACTGAGTTCAACACCCACTAATAGAATTTCACAACTCACCTAGTTTCAAACACAGTTTGCAGGGCTGAGTTTACACCATGCAGAGCCCCAACAAAATTTAGCTGTGGGGCACCATAGTTACCATTCAAAGGAAATCAGGTTTGTCAACTTTCTATTCCCTTTATCTCTCCTGAGGGCCCATCCAATGCAAGTTTCCATCCCAGGGCTCTCACCCTCTCTCCTCCCCTGCCTATTGTGCTTTGCAGGGCTGTGCTCACTGCTCTCCACATCACAGCGCTGCTCTCAGCCTGTGTCTGGAGCAGGAGTTGCTGCTTTGAGCCCCCACTGCAGCAGTTGCTCCACAACAGAAGAAACTCCCGTGGGCAGACTCGTACCCCCAGCATGCAGGAGATGGTCCCAGGCTGCTTGCAGCCCTGCCAAAGAGGGCCAAGCCACCTGCCCTGCACACCAGGCTGGCCAGGAGCCCTGCACAGCTGGTGTGTGGTTAACAGGCGGCGCAGAAAGGCTGCTTGGGCCAGGTCCATAGGGCTCGTGCAAGCACAGGGGCCCAGCCAGCTCCTGGGATTGCCTATGCCTAAGGCGGGCTCTGCTGGCTTGCTATATTAGCCTTAGTGGAGCCTGAACAGAATAACATGATGAAACATGTAATTAAGATGGAGCTAAGGATGCATGACGAGGCCGACTGAGCGAGAAATGGATTTGATTTTTTTTTGTCTCCTTGCAGAAATCATCCACTTCAGCAGGAAACTACCCGTTTGGATTTTTATAAGCCTGAATTAAAAAGAAATTACTTGATACAAATAAAAATGTTTATAACCTGCAACCTCCTTTACCCAAAGCATTGCCTTTTTCCCAGAATAAACATATCATATACATATAATGCATAATGCTCTCTTTTAAACTGCTACTCCAAAAATTAAAGGGCCACAAAATGCTGCCCCACACCCACCCACAGAGTGAGAATGAGAAGACCCATCCTCTTGTAGGTATCTGCCCCCGATCAGGTCTCCTGCCTCCCTGGCACAGCTTTGCTCCTCTCTGTAGTACATTCTCCAGAGCTTTGCTTTGTTTAGTTTAAATGATTAATGCAGCAGAGCTCACAGGGTTTCCTCAGAGACTTTTCCAGCCCTTATAGACCTCACAGAAAGAAAGGTTTCCTAATATTCAGGCAACATCCTTCTCTAGTCACTTTCATTTTATTCCTCCTTGTTGGTCCCACAGATCACAAGAAAAAAACAAAAACAAACCCTTCCCTTCTTAGTGGAGCAGCCATCCCATGGGAGTAAAAGGAGAAAAAGGAATCCATTTAAAATGGAGCTGGACAGGTTGTAAATGGGATTAGGAGCCATAGTTACTTGAGGTATCTGAGGTCTAGGCCTGACATTTCAGGGGAGCCACTTCAATCCTACTACCTATGACACTGTGGCTATTGGGCTCAAGGGGTGGGAGCAGTTAACATTCCTAAGTTTGGGAAATGGAAAAGGAGATCCTATACAATGGAAAAGGAAATGCTTAAAAAAGAAACTCCTTTTACTTTCTCCTTGCCCATTTCCCCCTGCTAGCTAGTGTGCCTGCTCAGGACTGCTGCAGTCTGTGACTCTGGCACCAGTGAAGGTGCCATAGCAGAAACTCAAAATAGCTGGGGGTTGTTCAGGGGATCATGTCTTTGCCCCTTTCCTGAGCCGTCATTCTCCAGCTGGGAAGGGATGTCCTTGTGACACTGCAGTACAAAGTGGGGCTGAGAGTCCCTCTTCCTTCCCAACTTTTGGAGACCCTTCTACCTCTTCCACCAGGAACCCTCCTTAGCCCCACACTTGCTGCTCTGTGCTGCTGGCAGAGGCAAAGGTGTGCTGCTCAGCAGGGCATGGGTCAAGGCTTGGGCACCGGGGAGGCCATGACTGGGACCGGGATGAGATGGAGACATACCCAGTCCTGAGAGAAGCTAAGCAGGGCAAGGTCACTAAGACCTTGGCTGGTATGAAGGTATTGCTTATGTTCACATCATGATACTGGCATTGTCTGTACCATGGTAGGGAAAGGAAGGGTTGTACCATGATGTGGACAGAAGAGATGAAGGGTGATTCTGGTACTCACGTCATAGACAGGAGGTGGTGGTGGTGGTGGGCTGGCTGAAGGGAGCTGTGTTTCCACCTTCAGGATATTTGGCTGGCTCCTTCTAGGGCACAACACCTGCTCAGGACAAGACACCAAATGACACATTTGGAGAATGTCCTCAAAGCTAAAATGAACACCAGTGTCATATCAAAACCAGCTGTTTGCACACCTCCTGAATGCTTCCACAAGAAAGAGTCTGCACAACATGTGCTGGTTACTTTCATCACTGCATGGTTAAGTGTAGAATCCAGTGACTTACACTGGAGCAGTGGAAAGGAGAACTGGGCTCTGTGTGTACATATAAAGCACTTTCACCACTGAAACCTTGCTGGCTGAAGGGTGTAAGTACTGAGCAGCACAAAACAATGCTATAGAGCAGGGAGTAAAGCAGGGCACTGGTCATAGTGCAGAGAGGAATTTCAGAGAGGCAAAATGCAATTTTATCAGGATTTGGCAGGGAAGCTTTTCCTAATACACAGAGTCTACAGAAGAGCACCAGGCAATCATTAATGGTGACATATAATGCACAAGTCCAGCATGGAGTTGAAGGAAGAAGACCCTTCATCTAAAATGTTTCTTGCATCAGATGAGCTCTCCTTGAACACATTCCATTGACACACAGAGAAAGGGTTAGCCCTGCTCAGCAAGAGAAGAGGCAGAAAAGGCAGAAGGCTTTGCTAAGTATCTCTGTTCTAATTCAGAAAGAAGTGGGATGATTATATTCACATCACATGAAAACGACAAACTGCTTTCCAGTCCATTAGTAACTAAGGAGGATGCTAAATAGCTTCTCTTAAAGATAAACATTTTTAAACCAGCAGGTCTGAGCAAGCTGTGGTGAGAAATATGGGTTGTGTTCTGCAGGAGGGCAAATGTAATGACTGCACAATCTCTTCAGACCCCAAGGAGAGGCCATAAGTCTGAGATTTGCTGGCTGGCCCACCTCAAAACCCAGAGATGCCAAATTGGTGAGTTGTGACAGTGCCTCCCCTCCTCATCCCCACAGAGACAGTGTCTAGGCACACAGAGATGGGGGCCTGTCTCCAGCCGACTCCCTTTACTTCTTACACTCCTTCCCCCACGTCAGACTGCCTGCAAGGTAAGTCTCACAAGATTAGCTGGGCTGCCAACTGCTGACATTCTGTTTTCAACCTCATGATCTCTGACTGTGTGTGCTGAAGCCTGATGCTCCTTGGAGTTGAAGGACTGTACAAGCAGCACAGCCTCCACATAAAAAAGCATGCAGAGAGTCTGCTGTTGTGGTAGCAGAGAGCAGCTTCAAGGAGTTATGGGGTGTACTCTGCTTAGAAAACAACAATGCCAAATTCCATTCTGAAAGAGGTAAGGGTATTTTTAAGCCAGCCTTGAGATCTCTGGCAGAATGCAAATTATGCTGTTGGAACACCTGAGGCAGCAGTAATAGAAGCAATAGGTTTTCCCCAAACAACAGGGATTGCAATATCATGAATCCAGAGGTTTTTCCACAGGGTCTATCTCATCCAGATCTTCCAGCTCTGCTTTTGGCTTTTCTTCTCCCACTCTCCAAATCCTTTCTCCCCCACTCCTGGTATCCCCTTGGCTCTCAGCATCCCAGATTCCTTTTCCTTATCCAGCTGGTCCCAATCTGGGACACTAGTTTGCTCACCCAAGGGGCTCTGTCAATCCAGTCTTAAGACCCTACTAGAGCTTCCTTACTCCAGATTCCAGTCCCAGTTTCCACCCTGAGGCTCATTCTTCCAGCCTCATAGAATCACTGCTGATGCAAGGTGTCCCTGGAGATTGCACAGTCTGATCCTTGTCTCTCTATCATTTATTTTTTTCCCCCCAGTTATTTGTAATTTTCACACAGGCTTCCTATGGGGATCCTTGTCCTGACCTTCCCCTCTCACTCTGTCTCCTAATGCTTCCTCTGCCAAACAGATGCCCAAGACTTTGGTCCCCATCCCCATTACAGTGCAGAGTTTTTCTTCTATGGTGCCCAAGCTCAGGAATGCAGCTGCAGTCTCCTTGAAACAGTTACCTCCATCTTGAAAGAAAATTAGAAATAGGGAAAGTCCTGCCATCAGGATTGCAACAGATTTACTCAGGTGTACAGGACATTACTTGTCTAACTGGCCCCTTCACAGGGGTTTTAGACAACTGAACTGGTAAATCGACAAAAGCCATGACTGAGTATGCACAAACTGCAATTTTCAAAAATCCTACCACAAGCCTACATCTTCTTGGATATTCTCAGGACCAGCACACTGCTAGTGTGACTTCTTGCCCTTTGTCAAATCCTTGCTCTAAAGCAGAGCATGCTGTAGTCAAAATGATTGCCAGAATTTCTTTAATGGGCAAATCACTTACTCATTTTGTCTTTCCTGTAATCTTTTCTTCTCAGAAAAAAATGAACTTAAGAAAATAAACTGGATCAGACACCCAGCATGGAAAATTTCAGCATGGGGACTTCCAATTCATTGAAGCTAGAAACAAATGGAATTAATTCCTAGTATGGGTCAGGCATTGCTTTTTATTTGGTTATTACTTGCCTTTCTTTTCCACAGAAGCAGAGCTGTTGCAGTGATGCCCAATACAGCAAGAAGAACAGTAAGGGTAATGAGGATTTCCCACCCATAAGAGGTATTTATGTATCCTGTATCTGTAAGAAAGAATGCAAAAGGTTCACAGTGTGAGTGGAAGTTATAACCCTGCTGTATCTTTAACCCTGGAAAGACCCTTGAGAAAACTAAAATACAGGAGTGCAGAATATGGTGGCAGAAATGCACACACCCTTCAAAACATACTCTGAACAGAGAGCAAGGGTGCAGCTGCAGAAATCACACAGAAGATGCAGGGTATAAGCTGCTTCACTTCACAGAGGGAGGTGACATAATTATGAAAGACAAGAAATTTGGTAGATAGAGGCTTTTGTGGCAAAGGTCTTTTGTGATAGAAGCAGAAAGACAGATGGTGGAATGCACACAGGCCACATGAACTGGGAGGATGAGCACTGTAGGCATCCTCTGACCAGTATAGCAAAGCTACTTCATCACAGCTCTTTGCATATACATTAACAAGTTCTTCATACCCATTGATATTGGATACTGATAATATTGATTATCAGTAATACATATCCAACCAGTCAGCAGCATGTACATCTTTCTCACATTTCTTTAACATTCCTCTTATGTTGCATCAAGCTTTCCACTGCTTTCCAGAGTGCTCATTAACAGACCAACCAATTCCTTGTACCAAACGGAAAAGAGAGAGGCATGTCAGTGAGGCCATAACCTGTTCATGAGTCCCTAAAACTGAGCATGCTGAACCTGTACAGGTGATTACAGCAGGCACCCTGATGACTGACCTTATCAGCTGCCTCTGTCACACTGCTGAAGGATAAACCACACTGTCTCCTGAACACTGACACCTAAAAGCACCATCTGACCTAGTTCCCAGGCTCCCTGGACAGATTTTGACTCCCAGGAAGCTGAGGCAGGGCAGATATAAATTACTGCCTCTTCATGTCCCCATCTCTGCATTGGGAACAGCAGCAGAGGTCACCTGTGCCAAGTGCATTCAACCCTGATGGCAGTTAGTATTGGGCATTAAGCATTATTCATACCTGACTTCATAGCATATGTGGATAGACAAAAAGAAGAGCAAAGATCAGGTTTTCATAGCCAGATCCAACTGATTTTTAACCTCCTGCCCTTCCTTTATGGTTGGTCACTTACCTCTAACAAGGACAAACACTCCCTTTCCCATTTTTTGGATATCATTCCATTTGACCTTGCAGTAGTACGTGCCAGTAGAAGAGGTGTTTTCAAGTGGCATGATTCTGTAGTCATAAGATAAGGCAGCAGTCTTATTCTCTTCTCCAGAAGGAATGGCTACGTTTTCCAACCTAGTATAGATAGATGTCTTCTGATCCAGTGAATTAATCCAGTAATAGCAGATTGAAAATTTGGTGTATTTCGGCATGTAAGGGAAGATGACTTTGCAGGGGATGGATGTTCCTTCCTTGAGCAGGGCAACCTGGATTGGAGGTTTCTGCTGTACATCGACATTTCCCCCTGTAAGGGTAATAATTGTTAGCAGTCACCTAACCTCACTTTCAGTGAGGAGAGGATGTCTGCCCCAAAGACAGGATCACTCTGAAAATAACCATACCCCAGGAAGCATGCCTGTAGCATGCAGTGTTGGCCCTTGTCAGAAGCAGAGTGATTCAGAGCACGTGCTCTGTGTGATCTGCCACATCTCTTGGGTAATTGCTGTCTGATCCATGATAGCCTGCTGCATTCACAGGCTTCCCCTTTTCTCTTGTGAGCTCCTCCATACAACGACAGCACGCAGAAAGACAGGAAATGAAGCAGGAAGTGAACTGATTTTGCAGTAGTGTATGAACACATTTACAGTAGGTGAATAGAAAGCAATTTTCTAAGATAAATTCTAGTTGGACATCTCCTGAAACTCCCAAGCTATAAACCTCGCTTGGGAATCTATGTGTGGCTGTGTGATGGCTCTGTGGTAGTGAAGGCAGGTGTTATCAGTGGGACCGTATATTTCTGAAATGCAAGTGAGGAAGGAAGTTGCATATTCCGTAAAGGGGCCAGCACCAGGGCCACCAGAAATAAGCCACAGCTTAATCACTCCAAACCTTTGCTGCTCTAAAACAGGAGCAAAGCACAAGCCTCAGTGTTAGCCATAGGAACTACCTACATATGACTGCAGATCTTAACTATTTATACATGACAGTATCTTAGGCAGAGATGAGAGCATGCCCTTCATGCGCTTCGTCCCAATACATATAAGGCAGTTTAAAGTGATCTATCACTGTAACTCAGTAGACAATGATGCCAGAAGTTAAAAGAGAGGACAAATAAGATGGACAAAAAACCACACCACAGTTTTCCCTGTTTAGTTTAAGAAAAAGGAAAAAAAACCTAAGAGTGACCCACAGGAGACTGGGGTACAGGACTCCTTTGGTTCCCAGGCAAATCTGGGTTCAATATCAGGCAGTCTCTGGATCTGTTTGTTTGTCAGCTGATATGACACCACATATAATGCAACTTAAGAGGAGGCTCTTTGAGAAAGGGAACTGGAAACTTACAAGTCTTCTCACAAAATTAAGGATTCTTTCTAAAGACATATGAAAAGAGAAGAGGGGAAAAGGGTAAAGAGAGAAAGTAGGGGATGGACAGGCTTTTCCATTTATGCTTTAGATGGGATTTCCTGGAGTTCTGCATCTATGAACAGGCTCATAACAAGGTATTAAAGCTGTCCCAGAGCACAGTCAGGCTTGCTTCTCTGTCACTATGGGCTAACGCTGCATCACAGCAGCAGCATCACATCGGCACAGTGGGAGCTGGCATTGGAAAAGGCAACTCAGACTTAGCACTGCTGAATGCTGAGCACTGAGGATTTGTGGTGGGGGACAATAATGGAGAGAGGGCACAGTTACTGCCCAGAAAAGGACTGTTAGGAAGTACCATATGTTAAGGAAAATTCTCTACAGATCACATATCCAGGGACAACAGCCTGACAGTAAGGATGAGCTTAGGTTACAACACCAAAGAAAGGTTCTTGGCTGTAAAAGCAACTGAGATACAGTACAGTCCTCAGGGACATGCTCAGTCCTGTGTACGCTAGTTACAATATTATTGGAAATGTGGTAACAAAATCCTGCAGACACTGTGGGAGTGATAACCCAAGTGGTCTATTCTGGGCCATATTTTTCAAAATCATTCATCATCCTTCTCCTCATCTCTACACAGCAGAAGACACATGAATATAGTTTCTATGTAAGACACAGCTAAGCACTACTGTAACAAAAGAGAGGAGAAATCCATTTTGTGTTATCCCAGAAGACACGAGGTTGAAAAGAACATACCAAGGAAAAAGCCAAGCCATTTTATTTAGGTTCTCTAACCCTTCTCCCATGTTCCCCCTTTCTTAAGGATTCACTCTCTCAGCTTTGAAATGCTTAAAAGACAGAAATAGCAGCAGCGTGCAAATTCCTAGAGGGGATCTCTGAAAATTAGCAAAAGATAGCAGCTGGAAATGCTCTAGTATGAAAAACATGAGAGTAAACAAAAGGAATTAAAAACAAAATATTTGTTTACCTCCACATTGAAGCAACCAAACAAACAGGAAGATGATTTTTAGATTAGGGATCATGACGGGGGGGGTCAAAATCTGTAAGAACACAACCAGACACAAAGATCCAAAAGGCAAAGGAGATGGGGGTTTGTCAGGTATTTTCACGCCAGGGCAGCTGGCTGATCCCCTCCTGTTTGCGAAGGGACAGGCGGGATGTACACACACTGCATTTGGCAAGCAGTTCCTGGCAGATGCAAGCTCTTCTGCTTTTCGGTCAGACTCCTCCCCACACCAGGGTTTGTACATTCTCTGTACTACAGCGATGGTGTTAGACCTACCAGCGAGTGTCCAAACGCTAGACCTCAAGCAGTTTAACACGCAGATCTTTGCTCCCTGATGACTGTAAAATATCTCATGCATTTAAAACAAACTTTGTCACCTTCCACACTGACATGAAAACTCAAGTGATGGATCACCTGTTTTGCCTCCAACACAGAAAACCAGTACACACATGAGTAGTCAGTACAGAGCAATGGTTCTTCTGTACCCCTGACTCCACAAAATGGCCCTCCACAGCCAACTTCTCACTAGGTCCTTTCTGAGGAAGGCGCTCACATTCACAGAGTGACAACAACCAGACAGCAAATTCGTTCTGAACAGCTGGACTATTTCAGATCCACACCGTGCTGGCTCTGAATCAGCTTCGCAATGCAGGCAAGCTTTAAGTAACCTATTGTAGGCAAATCTAAGGAGAACCCTTTGAAGAAGAAAAACCACATTTTGTGGGAGGCTCCTGCCACCTATACTCACAAAGAGTCTTTGATTTTCAATGAACACTTGTTTTTAGCTAAGACATCTGCAATGCAACAACTGAGCAGCATCTGACTCATAAAAACTCCTGTGGCTGAGAGGTCTTCACTTCTCTTTAGGCAGCTTCCTCCTTTCACATGTCTTGTGAGACAATTCCATTGTCCACAAGAAAGCACTTTGCTGCAGCTTCAAGGGTGCCCACTCACATGGGGCGCTGTGCTGCAGAGACTGGTGGGAGATGGCCGTGTGGGGAAAGACCTAAGGCAGCAGATCAGCCTGTAAGCTTGGTGTATTCAAAAGCACTATCAGTTGTTTTATCCCTCCAGACTTTGTAGGAACAAGGTTTCCTCCAAACAACCTTTGGTTTACAGCATTTTTCCTCCTGTTCAGCCTGGGACAGGTCCCCAGGAGGAAGGGGTCTTGACACAGGGGGAGGCATAGCAGCTGCATGATGCCCAGAGATGGCCCCAGTACCTTGCTGAGAGCCCTGACAGATGGGGATAGGAGAAAGTGGCTTTGTGTGGCTTTGCAAGGCTGGTGCAGCAGCTGCACTCCTCCAGGGAAGGTTTAGCTCAGATTAACCAAAACCAACTCCTCTCCCCAAGACATGCTGATGTGAGCTGCACAGGGCTGGTCTCAGCTGGAAATCACTCCTCACAGGTCTTAATGCTGAGCAGCAAGGACAATCAAAAGCGGTAACAAGACACTTGGGGCCCACTTGGTATTTCAGATGTGGAGGCACAGATCAGGCAGCTGTGGCTTTGGGGTTACAACAGTATTCTGCAGCCTTTCTCAGGCCTGAACAGCATCTCAAGGTAGTTGGGGCAGGGAGGGAGAAGGAAGCAGAGGCTCACTACTTTCCTGTGGAAAAACTCTGCTGAATTGTGAGGGCTTCCTCGGCTCTCATATCATGTTCATCCCCATGGTAGCACACAGCTTTGTAATTTCCAGTATTGATGTATTTCTAGAGGACAGAACATGCTGCTCCTGCCAGTGATGTGTTTTAACTGTTATCAGCATTTATCTGCTTCAGGAATTCAGGGTGATAAGTGGATTAAGTGCGGTAGGTTTGTAGGGCTGCTAGGTCAACATCGTCCTTCTGTCCTTTCTGTTCTCTTCCTATAAACAACCCTGTTGCCACTCGAAATGCCAAGTCCTAGAAATATCACTGTCTGGAATTAAAAAAAAAAAAAAATCTAGCATTTCAAAAGAGATCACACATACGACTCAGCTGTGGGATTAAAGGCACAGCCAGGCCAGAAATACATTCACTGCTGGGATTTGCTATGGTAGAGCTCACTGAAAAGAAATGGCTTTGAAACGACTACCCAGCAGCTATTAACTGCGAGACAGGATGACATTCTGTTCCTTAGAGCCTAAAGGGAGCCTGAATCTTTGAATGTTAAATTCTAATTCAATTTGGTCTGGGGATTCTGAACTGAGTTTTAACCCTGGAGACATAAATGGGAGGAAGATGAGGAAAAGCTGGGGAGTTGCTATTACCAGCCTGTAGCAGGACTGAACTGATCGCCCTAAAACTTAGGTGGAACTAACCAGGATACCTGTGTCAAAGGAAATAAATTAAGAAGCTCCAAAGGAATAGGTCATTGTATGACCTTCACTCATGCATTATACAGTACATCGGTGCATGTGAGCCAGTCCCTGCAGCATGGTGAGGGGGGAACTGCCTGGCCAGTTGTAATCCCACCACAGCACTGACTGGCCAGGATCTGTATGGCTTGGTCCTTCCTTTGATGCAGTGAATGCTGACACTTCCTGAAATTAAACAGAGGATTGGGGTAGATTCAAGCCAGTTTCTGCCTGTAGCTGAAAAGTGGCTATTAATTTCACTCAAGCACTTTAAAAAGCCCACCACAGTGGCCAGCATTCCCAACGGTGAGGAAAAGCACGTTGTTCTGGCATGCACCACCAACAAGTTTGGGCAAGTGCAGAACCTACCAGAAGTGCCGGTTCACAGCTGCGTCCAATGTACACCCACAAGTCCAGGCACACACATGCACACACACGAGTCCACACATGCCCCCACAGCCAACTCCAGGGAAAGCATTAATTCAAACAAAAAGGCTGCTGCTAGCCAAGGCAAAAGCAATGCTGCAGAGACCACAACAAAGCCTCTTTATTGCTGAAGCGTTTAACACCACAACCATCCAAAAGAGGAACACCACTTGGCGCACAGAAGAGCTGCAGCAACTCAACGAGCCTGATTGCACAGAGCTTTTCAGAGCATTCCCCAGCACGGCAGCTCTGGGTTTGCTGCCTTGTCAGAGACCAGCTCAAACCCCCATCACTGGAAAGCCAGCCAGCGGCAACATGTGCACCTCTGAGGATTCACAATCTCTTTGACTCCTCTAACCCCAGACTCCAAGGCGTACAGTTTCCCTGTCTGGCGGCAGGAGTGATAGCAGAGCCAGTGTGAGCAGGGCCGTACCTCTGCCAGCATTTTTACCACTGCTGTGTGTCGAGTGCCTTTCAGCAGGGCTGGATGATGCTGAGGTAAAAGCTGCCAATGCCCTCACTATGCTTCTATCCACTGAACTGCTCTAGGGAAAAGAATGATCAGTGACTTGATGGGAATACAGAAAATTAGAGGTGTTGACACCACCGTGGGGAAGGGAGGGGACAGTTCTCTAATTCCTTTTCACCAGCAAAAAAAGTCTCCCTCAGGAATCATCTACTGCTTTTTCTCTGCCCACCTTGTGGGAAGATTCCCAGGGTCTAAGTTACCACCACAGGTCTGGCACGCTCTTATGGCCATGCCTCAGCCTCGCGGTGCTCCCACCCGTTCCTCCTTGTGTGGCAAGCTGTGGCCAGCGGGAATTTGCCTGGCTTGAGAGCTTTGCCTACTCAGGGTGACACCTTCCAGAAGAATATCTACCTGCCCGGGCCCGGGGCTGAGGCTGAGGCTAGGCCAGGCCACAGCGGGACATGTTAACTCCGCCTGATCCAGGGGGTTAAATCTCCCCGCGGGCAGCCCCCCCCCGCCCCTGCGGGAGGCTGAGCCGCTGACACCGAGCCCCGGTGCGGCCGTGCCCCGGCGGGCCGGGCAGAGAGGGGCGGCGGCCGCTCCCGCCGACC